TCCTCCTCTCCCCCGCAGACACAGGTGGTCCCAGGCTACATTGACGCTGATGCTGCGCCACGTGCTGTGCGTGCTGGCCCTCGCGCTGTACTGCTGCGCGTCTCTGTGCGTGGCTACTGCTGCTGGTAATGGCGGTGGTGCAGGAGATTTACTTTCGCAAGGTAATGAGGGGCAAGTGAACGGCGCAGGAGCTTTGGCTGTGGAGGCGGCGAAGGACGCTGCAGCGGAGGCGAAGAAGGCCACAGCGGCGGCGATCGCACTTGATGCACAGATGAAGGAGGTGCTAGAGTTATTGGAGGCTGCAATTAAAGCCGCAAGCGTGGTCGGTGAAACAGCTGTGCAAGAAGCAGTGCAGGCGGCAAAAGCGACAGTGGACCTAACCGAATCGGCGATTCCCAAGATACCTGCGATTATGAAAATGAAAAATCTCATGAATGCTTCGCTGGGTGCGAGGTGGCAACTCGTGCTGTTGGCGAATGAGGCCAAAAAAGTCAGCAACGCCAGCTTGGCCGCCTTGGCTGCCACTGCAGCGGCAACGAAGGCGAAGGAGTCGGCGAAGAAGGCGAACGCTGCAGGAACAGGATTCGGAAGGGCGGCTGCAAAGGCTGATACTGCAGAGAAATTGTTTGCCGAGGCAGCAAAGAAGGCGACCAGCATAATGGACACCGCAAAGAGCGCTGTGACTGGCATCAAGGAGGTGGTTGTGAGTGTTCGAAGTACGTATTTCGCTGTCTTGTTTGTGCCAGCAGATGTGGTTTCAGCTGTCCCCGCTACAACGGAAAGCGCAAGTGTAGAGGCGAAAATTAAGGAGGCAGTGGAGAAGTTGAAGGAGGCAGTGGACAAGTTGAAGGAGGCAGAGAAGACAATGAAGGAGGCACAGAAGGTTGTTGTGACGGTAGTGAGCGAAGTTAAAACAGCAACGGAGAATGCGGCGGACGCGGCGAAGGCGGCTGAAGACGCGCTGAGCCCGCACACAGAAGAGAAGCCAACTAAGGATGGTCCCAGGAAGGAAGACGAAAACGTTGTGCAGCCAGAATCTATTGATGCGAGAGAGACAGCAGCGGGATCAACGAGCAGTGATGCCCTTCCTCCCTCAGCAGCGGAATCAACGAGCAGTGGTGCCCTTCCTACCGCAGCTGAGGATGTTGTGCATGCAGCGGAGCCCACAAACACTGCCGATCCCGGCACGTCTACAGTTCCCCCAACAACAACAACTGATGTGACTGATGTGACTGCTCCTCTGGGTGCCGATCCCGCTACGTCTATAGTTCCCTCCACAACAACAACCGATGTAACCACTCCTCTGGGGACTGGGGCTGGCAAGGCGGACGGCAGCACATATGCACGGCTGTGTGCACCACTGCTGCTGGTCATGGGAGCGGTGACCCTTGCGGCTGTGTGCTGATGAGCTGTGTGTGTGTGTGTGTGTGCATTGGGCAGGGTGGTATCCTTTTAATTGCGTGCGACCCTGGAGGCTGAGTACATATTAATGTTTTTTCATTTCATTGCTGCCCCGTTGTGGGCTGGGCGCTGTTTAATTCACCCGCGGCTGCACTCACTTGTGCTGTGTGTGTGTTGTCCGGGAGGCGTCTGCTTGTTTCTTCTCTGGGTGTGTTGGGGCTTTGCTTGCTGCTGGGCATTGTGTGCGGCCTGCCCTCTAACTGATATCACCTGTTGGGTGGTTCACTGTGCTGCGGTGCACTGTGTTGGTGCCGTGTCCCTCTCGCTCTCTGTGTGTGTGCCACCTGCTGTGCTCCTCCTCTCCCCCGCAGGCACAGGTGGTCCCAGGCTACATTGACGCTGATGCTGCGCCACGTGCTGTGCGTGCTGGCCCTCGCGCTGTGCTGCTGCACCTCTCTGTGCGTGGCTGCGGCTGTTCCTGCGACAAGTTTGCGGCACGGTGCGGCAAGACTGCCAGCTGCGGATGCGTTGAAGGAAGCGACGGAGGTGAAAGAGAAGGCGAAGACTGTGTTGTCTCTCGCTCGGCACGCAGCAGGTAGTGCCACTGCGGCGGTAAGTAGCGCTGCTGCAACAGCGACGCTCATTGAGGAGGGCGAGCAGAGGGTCGAGAAGGCTTCTGTGGACGCTGAGAGGGCGGTGGAGTTGTCCGAGGCTGCGGTGGAATTGGCTACTCGAGCAGCAGCAGCCGGAGAGCCGGCCGCACAGGGCTCGACGGCACAGGAACAGCCAACGAAGGCAGGGGCCGCTAAGGACACAGGGGGTGCATCAGCAAACGAGTCACGGGAACCGGCAAAGGCCATGCCTTCTGCGAGCTTGCCATCTACATCGAGTGATGGAGCAGCGGTGGGGGCTGGCGGGCGTGGAGGCCAACCTCCTGCTGCCCCCGGATCACCATCAACAGGACCTGCGTTACCTTCACCAGCACCTGTGGGGGTGCTAGGCCCTCAGGCAAAGGTGGAGAGTCAAGTGGCACAGTCGCCGACTGCACAAGCAGGGTCTCGCAGCACTGACACTGCAGCAGAAAGCCACAGTACAGGAACTGGGACTGAGGCGACAGCGACGAGTTCTTTGACGACTGCTGCGAGGATCCTTGCCGAGAAATCGTCGATCCCAGGGAGGTCGCTGCGACACGCCGCGCCGAAGTCACTGGTGGCCGCAGCGTTGGCTTCGGAGGAAGGGGCGGGCCCTGTTGAACCACCCACTTCACCGGGACAGGTGGCATCGGGGAACATTGTCGATAGCATCCCCGAGGCAGTGAACAAGACCGCCGATGCGGTTCGGACGGTGATGGAGGCCGCGAAGAAATTCACAGCGGCGGTGGGGTCGGCGAGCGAGACAAACTCCAATGCCATGGGAGCCAAGAAGAAGGCGGACGAAGCCGCGGCCACAGCTGCAGAGGCCGCGGGCGCAGCCAGGGGGGCGTCGAAGAGGGCTGCGGAGGTGGCGGCGATCTGCAAGAATGTCGACGCGAACTGTGCAGAAGCGGTGGCTGATGCCGCGACAGCAGCTGCGAAGGCCCGTGAGGCGGCCGCCGAAGCTGAGCTTGCCGTGAAGGAGGCCAAGGATGCTGCGGCAAACGCCAATAACGCGGCGGAGAAGGCTCTGGAGGCAAAGGGCATTGCCAAGGCGACTGCGGACAAGGCGACGAGAGCCGGGGAGGACGTTGCTGGTGTGCCGGACTCCCTGAAGAAGGCGGCGGAGTATGTTGAGGCGGTGAAGAAGGCTGAAGGAACGAGCAGCACGGAGGCAAAGGAGATAGTGAAAGCTGTTTTGGAAGATGCACGGCTCGCTAAGAAGTCAGCGGATATCGCGAAGGGCGCAAATGCAGAAAGTGCAGAGGCGGTGAGGCTGATTAAGGAGGCGCAGAAATACGCCGAGGCAGCTGCGGAAAAGGCCACGGCTGCAGAGAAGAAGGCAGGGCTTGTGAAGGCACTCGCCGAAGCCGCTGTGAAGGCTGCTGAAGGTGTGGCGCAACACACCCGGACTGCTGCTGCAGCTGCGCCGAGGAGAGCCGAGGAGGCGGCACAGCGTATTACTGATGGAGCGGCTGTGGCGTCTCTCAAGATGAACGGCAGCGTCATTGCTGCGTGGGTGCGTGCGCCGCTGCTGGTGTTGTTTGTGGGCGCACTGGCCCTTGGTTCTGTGTGATGAGTGGTGTGTGCGCACTCTAATGTTTCTCAGTTCATTGTCTGCATCCATTGAGGTTGCATTCTTAATTTGTCAAGATTCTTTTGTTTTCATTTCATTGCTGCCCCGTTGTGGGCTGGGCGCTGTTTAATTCACCCGCGACTGCACTCACTTGTGCTGTGGGAATGGGAAGTACTGTTTTTTTTCTTGAAGGTGTGGGCTTTGCTTTGCGTGCTGCTGTGCGCCGCCCACTAACTGTTTGCTCTGCTGGGCGATTTCTCTTGATGCTT